GGTTTTTGAAAAGCCCGATCCGGGTCACCGATCCGGTTTTTAAACCATTGGTTTAAACCATATTTCGCAATACTATTTGAAGGTTTTTACTATGATTATTTTGAACCTCGGCTGTATAGAAGAGGGGGAGATTATTGGCATGGTAAAATAGACTTGGATGAACACTAGTCTTCATGGTAGTTGCGGTTCCAGTTGCATAAAAAAACTTATTAATGTCAAGCATAAATTGCTAGGGTGGAAAATGGGTGTTTTCCATATTAAAGACGATGAACTCCACTTTACAGAGGTTGCGCTTGATCGATCAGGATGCTCAAGAAACTGGAATTATCATGCAAGCTTTGGAAGGGGAAAAGGGGAATTTAAAAAATGAAGTGCATGAAATTTTAAGATTGGAGGAGATATATTCGGACTAAAGATTTTGTGTAAAGTGGAGGCATAATATTTTATTTGGGGTTTGGTTTCAAGGCATTCAAGAAGATGATATGGAAGGTTGGGAAAATGAATTTGTGAAACAATTCAAAAAAGGTTTTTTATCAGATCAGGATGAGATTTTTAAGGTTGCTATAGGGGAGTGCCCTTCATCAAAGCAAGATGCGCTGAAGGTTAGATTGACAATGGAAGACTTGAGGAAGGCAGTTTTCTCCTTACCAGGGGAAAAATCACTAGGGTCTGATGGCTTCTTTTTTGGTTTCTTTCATAAATTTTGGGATATGGTTTGGGTGTTCATTGACAAGGGAGTTATCGGCAAGGGATGAGCTCTACTTACGTGTCTTTCATTCCTAAACAGGAGGACATTGCAGGAATTAATGATGTGTGACCAATTAGCTTGCCCACCAGCTTATATAAGATCATAGCAAATGTTTTGGCTGAGTGATTGAAATTGGTACTACCAAGGCTAATATCAGGGCCCCAGTCAGCTTTCATCCATTATAGGATTATCATGGATAATGTTCTCACAGCTCAAGTAAGTAGTGGTGAACATGGAATAGCCGTCATGTTAGATAAGGGAAAAGCCTATGACAAGATGGAATGGTAGGTATTGCAGGAGATCATGTTCATAATAGGCTTTGTGAGCAATGGAAGAGATGGGTTGAGGATTGTCTATCTAATGAACACTTTTCGGAGCTGGTTAATGGATCTCCTAAAGATTTATTCAAAGCATTGAGAGAGTAATCAGGAAAGGTAATCCTCTCTCTCCATTCGTATTCACTCTGATTGCTAAAGGTTTCAGCTTAATACATTCTAAGGTAGAGAGGATGAGGAGTTTTGTTGGTTTTAAGATATGAAGAAATATACCATCTGTTTCGCACACATACAATACACTGATGATCTACCATAATCTTCTCAGATTTTGTGAATTTGCTATATTACCAATTTTCTATACTACCAATTTTTGTAGATTTTGTGAATTTTCTCTAGGGCTTAAGGTGAATTTCAAAAAGATTTCTATGATTAGGGTGAAGTGTTAGAATGATGTAATCAAGTCGCTATCTATTATAGCTAGATGATAGGTCAAATTCTTCCCCTCCAAGTATCTTGCTCCACCATGATCAGACTATAATTTATCGAGATCATCTTGGAATCTTGTTCTTATGAGATTTCATGTTAAATTGGATCTGTGGAAGATTTAGTTCCTTTCATTTGGAGGTCGTATTGCGTTCATCAAATCTTCCTTAGCCAACTTTCTCATTGATTAGATGTCAATGTTAAACATGCCTAGTATTGTTTGTAAGGAGATTGAGAAGTTGATGGGGAATTTTCTTTGCAGCAGTATTGGCCATAGAAAAAAGTATCATTTGGTCTTATTAAATAAAGTCTGTGCACCAAATATTGAAGGAGGTTTGAGTATTGGAATAATGAAGAATCTAAATTCGGGTCTTTCTGCAAAATAGTGGAGCTTTTTACAACATGGGGGTGATCTTTGGAAGAGGTTAATTTCAAAAAAATATGATATTAAATTAAGTTTTCAAATTCTTGGGAAAGGTAAAGGGCATATTTCGAAGAGCATGGGGGGATGCAAGGATATAGTTGCTAGAAATGTCAGATGGGGTGGCTAGAAAGGGTGATAATCCTATTCTGGAATTATAAATGGTTGGGGGATGCTTCTCTCAAGTTTTTGTACCCAAATCTATTCTCTGAAGTAGCCAACCTTGCAGCTAACGTTAGTAGACTCTTTGTTTGTCAAGGGTCGACTAAGTTTTGGAGGATTGGTTGTATCTATAATAGAATACCAATTATGGTTATTAATGAGCTCGCGTTGTTGCTGGAATAGAAGTATATATATCTATCATCAAATTTTGAGGATGAAGTGGTGTGGGCAGAGGAAAATGATGAACTTTTATTGGTTAAATCTACTTGTAGACTGCTGTATCAAGATCAAAGAAGATGGTTGAATCCTCTTTAAAGAACATTTGGAAGTTTCCAATTCCACATAAGACTTCCTCTAGGTGATTACACAAGGAAAATCTTTAGATGTGGATAATTTGATCAAAAGATGTAAAAGATTGTTAACATTTGCAGGTACTGTTTGAAAGACGGTGACTGTGAGGATCATTTATTTCTACATTGTTCTTTTACTTCAGCCATTTGGGGATGGGCTCTTAATTTTGTGGGGTTTGCATTAATTCTTTAAAAAGGCCATGGAGGTATCTTGATGCATATGGAATTACCCGAGCTACCTATGTATGGATAAACGATTTGGAGGATCATCAGAGTAGTTGTGCTTTGGAAAATTTGAAAAAAGAGAAACCGAAGAACTTGTGACAATGTTGAAACGTCTCAAGATGCTATTAAAGTAGAATTTTATCCTGTGTTTGGAGTTGGTTTTCGTGTGCCAAAGAGGGAGTAGGTGTTTCTAAGGTGGATATTATGGTTAACACTAAAAATCTGGTTAATCGCTCGTAATAAGTTTTGAACCCTAAGTTTAGATGGAGGAGGCCATAGCTAGGATCCATTACATTTAATTTTGATGGCAGTTGTTTAGGAAATCTGGGTTCTGTTGGGGTTGGCGGTTTGGTGAGAAACTCAGATGGAGAAGTTATACTTTCATTTGAAGGCTCATGTGGAGTTTCTACAGAAAATAAGGCTGACATATGTGTTATCTTGTAGGATTTGAAACTGATTAAAGATAGGAACCTTCATCGCTGTTGTATGGCCATAGAAGGAGATTTTCTCAATGTGATAAATTGGTGCAACACAATTAGTTGACCACCATGGCCACTTCAACAGTTATGGGTAGAAGTCTTGGACATTTCTAATGGTATGGACATTTCTTTTTGAGCATGTCTATAGAGATGCCAAAAGTGACGCGGATAACTTGGCCAAAAGAGGGGTTGACATGGATGCTCTGCTTGTTTGTAATGATTTGTTTTTTTGATACTATTGTACTGATTTTTTTATTAATAAAATGTCTTAGTCTTGTCAAAAATTAATGTTCATTGGAAGGCACCCACACATACATCCAGTCATTTTTATTATATTATTTATGGTGGTATTTTTATTATATTATTTATGGTGGTAACCGAGTTGAATAAAATTTAATAAACAACATTGAGATGTGATGATTTAACCACCTTAATAATTTTGTAACTTTGATAATTTTATTGAAATTTTTTCAAGAAAAGAAGCAAGGACTTGAATTTTACTGAAAATGAATTAACCGGCACCGATAAGTCCGCTAGAGAAAAGGACAAACTAAATATTGGAAACATAGACACAAAAGGGAGAATGAATTTACGAGCCTTAATAAATCTTTTGAACATATTTAAATAAAAGAAAAAATAAAGTACTGGGACAGGCTAAATAATCCAAATCTCTTAGGTGTCACTGAGGCACTTCCAATACACACCAGCACAGGAAATCCTTACTCTCAGTGTAGTTGCTTTGATCAGCAACTTAGAATCAAAATTCGAAAAGAAAAAAATAAAAAATCACCACTTTGAATGCGTTGAAGTTTTATAAACTTGAATAGAACTCTAAAACACACATAATTTATCGCAATACTCTACATTAGCTAAAACTTTATGAAATTTTCTTGTTACTACTTATTCAGGTTACATATCTTTGACTATCTCTTAAGAAATTATGGCAATCATGTCCAACAACAAAATCAAGTTTCTCAAAAACAATGGGTCTTCTATGATGAAACCGCCCATCAAAATGGAAATGCAAGGATTACATATTGAAAAAGGGGGGATGTTGCCCTTCAATGAGAATGGTGAGGAAGCTCTTTGGAGGGAGGCCCTTCTAGCCTGATATAGTCATAAAGAATACCTTGGAAAGGACTTGTGCATCTAGGTTGAGTGAGAAAGATTGTATTTACCCCCACCACAAGCAGGTGTTTTCTATGTCAACACTATACAACCAGTGGAGACCATGAATCCCATGCCTAGCGATAGCGATCGCATTATCCATCCCTATTCTTCCAGTTGTAAAATGTGGTGGATTGGCTTTGGGATCATTGAATCGAACCTTAGATAAAGTAATATTGTGTAGTGAGTTTAAGGGATTCATAACTTTTTTGGAAAGAAGAAGTGTATGCATCGACCAAGTTCAATACCTGTAGTTCGGCCATTGCAGCTGATGCAAGGGCGACTGGGAGCTTATAGGTACCATCTTGGTTTACATTGTCAAGGTTGAACTCTATCTGCCATGTCGTAGCTTGATATGTGCCATTTTCCCCCTTCTTATATTGCGGCACAAAATTGCATAAGATTCAAATGGATTTAATTAAAATCATGCTCTAAAAATTGTATTTAGTAATTACAATAGAAAATAATGCAACACATGTTACATGGCATTCAATATGCAACATAGTGCGTAACTGGATCAGTGTATATCCACATCTGCCCGGCATGTTCATGTATGCACATATCTGCCTGGCATGTTCATAGCATTCACTTTCTTGACTGATTGAAGGAATTATATTAAGTAATTCAGGAGTACAAATAAAAGGTACCCTTGATGCTTTGATACCAGGAACTAAGTGTCAGTATTCTGTAGAAGCTAAATTTAAGAGGATGTGATCAACTAAGAAACCTCATTCTACTCAGGTGGCACTCCAAAATTTAGAGTTATTTCCTTCTCAAAGTTTAACGTTTGTGCCCTTTACACTGTTCTCTCTGACCCATGAATCTAGCTTCAAAGGACTAATCAATTTGCTTGATGCTGCCCGTTTGAACCCATTTAGGAATATGTATTGTTTCGCATGACCAATATATTGGTCATTTTAAAGGGACTCTAAGTGTTTAAAAAGTCCCAGGAGTTGGAAGTAATTTTTAATGTTTAACAATTGGGTAATGGTTCTTCCCATTGCCGATCCATATGTTCTGAGAAATGGCATGCTCTGAGAGAAGGACCTCAATATTGCAAAAGAAGTTAAAGTGACTTTTCAGGTTGACCAATGAAAACAATTTAATTTGATTTCTTATATCAATGGGACTCAATTTCCGCTTTGTTATACATGCTTGTTTTATTTTGAGAAACTCAGCACAATCTGCATTGCATTAGTTTTCAGTGCACATCAAAAACATACTGCCATTTGAAAAAAGTATTGAGCAGAATAGCAACCATACAGTTGCAGTGACCCGCTTGAATGGCAGTTTCAGAACACACAATTATTTTGTTCAAGGACTTTATATCTCCTCATCATGAGCATTTTCTTTGTTTCACATCACTTACTTACCAAGAAAAGACCCACAACTCATCAACAAAGCAACTACAGACGTACCTTTTGAATCTGATGATTGAAAGGTGCAGTCAATTGATGCATCATTGTTAAATAGATGTACACAAAGTCATGGTTAAAGAGGTCACACCTTGTAACCTGTGCGAAAAACCAATCTTTCCGATAGTCGCTTGTGCCAACAATGTAGACAAGATCCTCATTAGGATACAAGTCAGCATATCTTTCCCACAACCCATACTGCCTGAACCTGTGAGAATTAGATGGAAGAATTAACCATAAAGCTTACAATGAACCAACATAATAAGTATGACAATTGCAGTTGCATAGATAACATCCAGTAATACCCAAGTCTTTTGATTCATTATTAGGAAATTCTGAAGAGTTCCTTAGAATAGGGATTAGAAGCTGCTTAAGTGCTTATGGAAGCAAGATTATCCCATCTTTGTTTCTTAGAACAGGGATTAGAAGCTTCTTAAGTGCTTATGGAAGCAAGATTATCCCATCTTTAATTTTTGACAAATATACGACTCATTGTTACGAAATTCTTAAGAGTTTATGTGGACTTGCCAAGTATGTCAGAAACTTGCTAGTTGCTACAGTAAATTTACTGAGTACTGCTACATTACCCCTTGAAGAGGTTCCATTCCAATAACTGATAAGAATTAACATAGTCAATGCTCAGATAGGTAAATTAGTTTATTTAGACCAGAATCAATTAGAAAGATTTATGTAAATGTTTTTTATTAGATTTGCCTTTAAGCCAAAATGGAAGAGCTAAAGTGCAAACAAGGCATGCTACATTGGTGCCATATCAGTCTAAAACAACAAGGCATGTCATAATCACCACATGTTTTGAAATAGGGAAGAGAAAATAAAGATATGATAAAATAATGCCCAAGTCTTACTACGTCAGCGAAATAGCAGATAAAATGTTGTTCAAAAGAAAAATGGAAAACCAAATATTGACAACATATTGTTACATTTCCAATTTGAAGGAAATTCTGTGGTGTGCGGTACTCCTTGGAGTTGCATTTTGATCTCGATGGCTTATAAAATGGGAGAATGACAAGAGAAAGAAGCTAGTTTCCATACAGAAGATGAAATGGTATTCTACATATATATATAAACCAGATTCCACTTTGAAATTATAGTTTTGGTAAGGTACATCTAAGGGACCACTGGAAAAAACAGTGGTTCATCTTGACCGAATCAAGAGCATAGTATCAATAAAATTAAGATCACATTTACAAATATAACAAAGCAACAAGAAATTGTGTAAAATCAATTAATTGAGTCAGTTGTAAAGTGTACCAAGGTTCTAGTTCAGAATTTACAACCAAGAGTGACCACAGTAATGGTATTCCCTCCAACTTAGTTTAAAACCCAATTAAATAAAAAAATCATGGATATTTTCAAACAACAGAAATTAGAGCGAATTACAGTTATTAAAAAATAGAGGATAATGGTGTTTAAATCCATACTACACATCTTGATGGCATGATAGTGGATAATGGGTTTGGATCAAGCCTCTTTTTGTAGTTATAGGATGATGACATGAATGATCTAGATTCATCTATCTAGAAATATCTATAAACTTGGTTGTTAGAAGCCTATATATATCCCCTTAAGTATTCATTCCCACACTAAGTTCAATTTATCTCCCTCACTAAGTGACACCCCACTCTCTTTCTCTCTCTAGAATCTCTTGAGTGGCATGTGTATTCAAAGTGAGTAATGAATTGATGTGAGAGAAGCTACTTTGATCTGTATTGTTTCATGTAGTTGACGGTATCGGGCATCATCTATGCGCGAATTGATCTAGTTACCATGAGATCTTCTTCGAGATTTTTGGAGTTTTATTGATACGTTTATCTTTAAGTTTTTCACATCCAAAGTAGTCATTTGAATCATGAATTTGATGGATCAAATTATTGTTTTTATAAGAGGAGATTATATCGAAATTTTGTGGTGCATTTTGTAAACTCATTGAACCGGTTTTGTGATTTGTGAGCCACATTTTCCCCCACAAGTTCCACTTGGTTTTTTATTATTTGATCTCTGTAAACATTTCTATGTTTCAAATGTATATCAATAGATGCTTGGCTTCCCACTTTTTATATGATAAATTGGCCAAATTTTGAGTAACACCATCACATGTCACCCAATAACACATAGTTAAGACCCAGGGCCTTAAACCGGGCACCCAAGTGCTCTATTTGGCTTCACATGGGCATGTTGCATCATTCACCTGAGCATAAATATGTTGTAATGTTGGAGATCATGGTTTCCTGTGTTTAGTAAAATCAACTGATGTATAAATTTGCATTGCAATTTTTAATGGTGCAGAATTTTTAAAAGCACCTAATGCATGTCTAGTTTGATGATTTCAATCCGTAGTTTGTGTTGTTGTGTAGGGATCTCGAGAGCCCCATAGCTTGTGAAACTGTAAATCCCAAATACTGGGATCCCATCCAAGATCGTGTACTCAATTGGCCAAATGCGAAGTAAATAAATACAATTATAAATCAAGTGCGAGAAATAAACCAAACAAAAAAAGTACACCACAATAACGCACGATTTACGTGGTTCACCCCATAGAGCTACATCCACAACTAGATATCCACTATCACAATGAAGATTACAGTTTTGTGTTACAAGAGATAATACATATCTCTAAACATCGGTAAAAGACCATCACCGATCATCCCTTCTAAACTCGCTCTGCCGACCGAACAACATCGTCGATCAACATCCTCTTTCCTACCACAATACCGCTACCAGAGAGATAACCCTAAGAGCAACATAAAGATTTTCTCTCTAGAAGTGAAAGTTAACCAACCCAAAACTTATGGGAATGCCACCTCTCTTTCAAAGACCATGTCTCTCTCTTTTGGAGACCCATCTCTATATTGGAGATACATTCCCATAAACCACAAAGGGATGATCCTCAAAGGATGGGTATTATGTTCTCCTTCGCTCTCTTATAAAGATATCATTTTCTTACTTCCCAATAAAGTCAATTTTCTATTCCCATAATACCCTAATCTTTAGAAGAAAATATGGGTATGGTGATTTAGCTATCACCAAACCCAACATGTTTGATGGACAGGGGACCCTCATTGCGTTGCATCCTCATATTTTTGTGTATAAGAAGAGTTATGTTCACTGTAATCACAATTATGCTAATGCAACGGTTGTATCATAGTATAATGCAACCGCACTTCTAGAAAATCATGTTTGTGGTATTTGTATGTCCTAAAATTTTACACACACAATCTCTTCATTGTAATAATCAATTTCAAAAAAAAAAAATTGATTTGAACTTTAGATGTGGTCAAAATGAGACCCCTCCAACAACAAATCTAGACCATTCATTTGGTGAATTTCAATATCTTAGTCTTTACAAAATCAAAATCATTTCTTTTATTTTTTTAACATTGTTCATCTAATGATAATAAAGCCATCGAAAAAATTGAAAACGAAAAAATATTTCTAAGGCCTCGATCTAAGCATCTTATCAAAATTGACGACCTATGTTAATTGGTTTAAAAAAATACTTTTGAATTTGTGTTTTCAAATTTTTATTTTGTGTGATTGTTTATTATAATGGAAAGATTATATATTTTAAAATTTGGATCAAACAAATTGATCAATCATAGTTTTTTGAATGTTGTTGCATTATATTACTATACAACCATTGCATGAAATCAAACCATTTTCATTTATATATATATATATATATATATATATATATATATAT